GGGGCTGGGAAAATGTCTCAGTAGATAAAACGCCTGTTGCACAGCATGAGGACCTGAATTTAAATTCTCAGGATGCACATAAAAAGCCGGGTGTTACTGCAGAGGTCTGTGACCCCAGGCCCTGTGGGGCAGAGACACACAGATCCCTGGAGCTATTGGCTAGACAGCCTAGCTGCATCTGTGGGCTCGAGGTTCCATGAGAAACCCTACCTCAAAAATAAGGTAAAGAGCAATGAGAAAAACACTCACTGGTCCAGAAAGGAGAACACTGAGCTTGAGATGGTAAATGCCTCATGGAGCATGCAGGAGCATCCCAGGCCTGTTCCTATAGGTGCTCACTGGATCTGACAGGAGCAGAGCAATTGGTGTGTGTGTGTGTGTGTGTGTGTGTGTGTGTGTGTGTGTGTGTCCTCTCTACAGTAATGGAAGCCTTTGTCATGGCTTGTCATTTTGTGCTCCCCATAGGGTCTGACATATGGCAGACACTCAGCACATATCTATCAAATGGGTGAAGTAATGATTAATGTTGGAATGTTGGAAATGTACCCTGTGTATTGCTCTAACCTCACCCTGCAGTAACCACCTGTCAAGGGTGAGACTCTTACCACGTGTCCAAAATTGTGCTAAGCATAATGCATAGATATATGTGCGCGAGTATGTCTGTTCGTTGGTCCTCACAAACATGTTTATAAGGAGATTCTCTTAGTCCATTTTTGTAAAGAGGCAAATTGAGAAGTAGGGAGGGACTGAGGCAGGGTCTCACGTAGCCCAGGCTAGCCTTGAACTTGCTTTGTAGCAGAGGATGGCCTTGACTTCCTGGTCTTTCTGTCTTCACTTGCTAAGTGGATTACAGGTGTGAGTCACCACACTCAACCTCACTGCACTTTCTCTGCACTCTTTAGGTGTGTCTCCACCAGCACACTCAATACATTGTCAACTAATTAATTATCTGGTTAGCTGGGCATCCTGACAGCGGGGGACTCGTGTTCACTTATGTTCTCCCATTGTGAATAGCGAATGCCTGGAATACTCTAAGGGCTAAATAAATGTTTGTGGAGTTGATTAATTATCAAACTCTGAATAAACATTGGTTATTTAGAAGACACGTTGGCTGGAGACAATTTTGACTTTGATCCAGGGATTCCTTCATGCAAGACCTGAATGCTCTAGGTGATAAGATAGCACAATGGTTTCTCTACTTCTCAGCAGCTCATGTGGAGCACAATGCTGACCTTCAATTTTGCTGCTCGGTCAACCAGTGTGGGGCTGTTGACTGGAAGCCTAAAGCTCTGCCTGGTACTGGAATGGGGGATTTGTTATGAGGTGTTAACAGGATCTCTGGGTCCCCAACGAGGGTGAGCAGAGGAGGCCAGCAGGGACAGGGAACATGATGCTCCACTTTAAAAGTTTTAACGGTGAAATAAAGGATGACTTTTTAAACTAAAAAACATGAAACTGTGAGTAAAACACTTGAGCTACAACATTTTAGAGCAGTGGGTAACAAACAGCCCAGGCTTGGGAGTTCAACTGCCAATAATCTGTTTCCTTTTCACTGTTATAACAAATATCTGAAGTGAATCCGTTTTCTAAGACAAAAGGTTTATTTTGCCTCACTATTTGTGGGGTTCAGTCTTTAGTTGTTGACTCCCTTGCTTTGGGGCTTGTCTATAGCATTGCCTCATGGCTAGGACACAGAAGACAAAAAGGAAGAAACCTCTGTTCCATAGTCCCCTTCAGGACACACCCCCAATGGCCTGTCATTGCCCATTAGGCCTCACTTCCCAGAGGTCCCACCGCCTCCCAGGAATAGCAGACTGGGGACCCAGCCTTTCACACACGGGCACTTGAAGGGACATTCAGTTCCAAACTGCAACATGCAACTGAGTAAGCATCAGATACTGCATGCAAAGTTGTGAAGGTCAAGTCCATAACAAAGGCTCAGTCAAAGAGATACTTGCATTCAAGCAGTTAAAGATACAGTTGGGTCTGGAGAGATGGCTCAGCGGTTAAGGGCAGGCCCAAGCTGGCTTCCCAGAACGCACACTGGCAGCTTATGACTTCCTATAACTCTGACTCCAGGGAATCTGGTGCCTTTTTCTGGCCTCTGCAAGCATCTGCACACATGTGCTAGCTGTCCCTGCCCCATATACATAATTACAAATAATAATATAAATCCTTTTTAAGACACAGGGGCTGAAGAAATGGCGCAGCAGTTGAAGTTGTGTACGATTCTTGCAGAGGATCTGGTTTCAACTCCCAGGACACACAATAGATAGCTGTCTCACAACCTCCTGTGACTCTAGCTGCAGGGGTCTAATGCCTCCGGGTCAGTCACTATGATGCCCACTTCTCCAGAAAAGATAAGTGAGCACATACAGGTTCTGTACTCCCACCGAACTTGGAGAGTGAGCCTGAGCCACAGGCTCTTCTCCCTGTATCCACATCCTGCGTTCCCTGCCAACGCTGCCCCCGCTCCACCATGACCATGAACTCAGTCGTTACCCTGCCTCTGATCAACACAATGTGTACCGACTTGAAGCATGCCGTCTGTTGGCCGCTCTGACTGTTCACAAAGCCACCAAAACCACATGAGAAAGCCAAGTTAGCCCCGTGACTGAGTGCCACTGTCTCATTGGCCAATAACCATCAACTTAAAAAAAAAAAAAAGCAAGACTATTTTCATTAAGATCACTGCCAGGTGTGGTGGCACACTCCTTTAATCCCAGCGCTCTGGGAGATAAGAGGCAGGCGGATCTCTGTGAGCTTGAGGCCAGCCTGATCTACATAGTGAGTTGTGAGTTCCAGGACATCTAGGGCTACACAGAGAGACCTTGTCTCAAAAGAAGGAGGAGTAGGAGGAGGAGGAGGAGGAAGAGGAGGAGGAGAAGAAGAAACCACTGCTAGTCGATCTAACAGACACATTAGAGATCCTATAGAAACTGGCTAACTAGGCCTAGATCTGAAAATATATCAAACCAACTCATAGAACTGTAAGCTCAAAAAATTGTAGTTGTTCTAAACAGTTAAGTATGGAGGGCCAGTTTCTTATGTAGCCAAAGCTAACTGATACAAGCTTTCAGCCTACACTGGGACTAATAAGCTTTTTTTTTTTGTAAAGGGCCAAATGGTAACAATTTTAACTTTGTAAGCTAAAGGCCTTTGTTGAAACTACTCAAATCTGCCACTGTCACCAACAAGGAGCCACAGACAACATGGAGAAGGACAGCCATGGCTGAATTTGGCCAGAAAGCTGTTTGCTGACCCTTGTTCTAACACCACACAAACGGGCAACAATCACGCAAGAGTGTGTCCCAGCCAACCGCCCTTGGATCTGAGCAGCTGGGTCTTGTGTTCCATTAGAAAGAAACATCGGAGAGCCCATCACAAGTCCGGCAACTTGAATGAGATGACGCATTCTAATGTACCTTCCCCTGCTCCAAAGGGACCCCGAGATACCGATACAGGGGCAAACAAACTCTAGCAGGGAAGCTTGACTTGGGGACGTGGTCAAAGAGTGGAGATGTGAGACAGGAAGAACATCAGTATGGAGTCAGTATGGAGCAGGGGAGCACAGGCAAGGGAGGCCAGGAGATGGCCAAGGCCCTAGGAGGGGCAAGGAAGCTGGGTCATATGCCCCCCACCTCCACCGCTGTAACAGAGCTGCTCCTGGAAGCATCAAATCTACAGCATTCTCACCTGACCCCAACCTAATTACTGCAGCCAGAGAAAGTCCTGGAACAGAGGGTAATAGCGTAAAGTAAGAAGCTGGCCTGGAAATGAGGGGGCCAAGAGGGCGGGCCAGCATCCTCTGATACAGAAGGCTTCCCTATGGGGATGTCTGGATGGGAATACGATGGAATTTATAAGTGAGAGAAGCTACCACTGGAGGGCAGATGGAGGAGGTCACCTAGAGGGGAGGTGTGCAGAGAAGCATTAGGGGCAACAGTTTGACTGAAATGTCCCCTGCAGGCTCAAGTGCTGAAGCCTTGGCCCCATTTGGTGGCACTGGAAAATTGGGGAGGTGGAGCCTGGTTAGAGGATACAGTTTACTGGTGTGGGGGATATGTCCTTGGGCCGTACCTTGGCTTCTTTCTCTCCCCCTCCCTCTCTCTGGTTCCTGACTACCATGAAATGGACAGATCTGGCTCTATGGTACAGTCCCTCACCGCGTCCAGAAACTGAAACCTCTGTACGTCAGAATGAACCCTTCACAAACAACACAGTCTATGAAGATCCACATCTGTTGTCAGCTGATCCTGGGGGGAACATATATCCAAGGTTGCTTTAACAAATTGCCACAGACTTGGGGACTCACAGGACGGAAATGTATACTCCCACAGTTACAGAGGCAAGGAGTCTGAAGTCCTGGCGTGACCATGAGTATGCTTTCCCTAAACACTCTGGCCAGGACCCCGCTTTGCCTCTGCCTGGGTTCTGGTGGCTCCACTAGCACTCCTTGTCTTGGGGTGCTCCACTAGCTACTGCCTCCATCATCCCTTCCCCCAAACACCCCTCTTCTTACAGACGTTTGGACTCAGATGTCCCCTAACCCGGGGTGACCCCATTTTAACTGGGTTATATCTGCAAAGCATCCATTTCCAAACAAGTTCTTCTTGTCAGGTAGCAGGACTCAGATCTGTCATTTTAGGAATGCAGCCCAAACCATGAGAGAGGATGAGGAGGCACAGGCACAGGAAGATGAAAAAGCCAGTGACTGTGTTTCCCATGTACCCCAAGAACTCACCCATTGACACGTTTTGAGAAGAAAAGTGTGATTGTCATAAATAAGAAGAAGATGGAACTATGTCTGTGGGACTTAGAAGTGTGGACAACATGGTTCTTCTAAGAGATGAGAGAGAGAGAGAGAGAGAGAGAGAGAGAGAGAGAGAGAGAGAACACAAAGGAAGAACAATCAAGGATCACAGTGGTAGAGATGAAGACCGGCAAGGACCGACATGAGCTCCTGGAGACAGTGCCGATCCAGCCCCATCAAGACTGAACTGTAAAAGGAAGAAGCAGACGGAGCATGGCTTGATGAGGCCAAGGGAGGTTTTTGCTTGTTTTGTTTTGTTTAAGATGAGACTGAGAACGTCAGGAGAAAGGACACAGTTTCGAGGGGGGGTTGATATGGAGGTGTTGAGCCTAGAGCCAGGTGCTGTGATGTGGTGGTCGCTGGATTACCAGGTTCTGGCTTCTCTGGAAGATGAAGGAGAGAGGAGCCTATGAGCAAAAGTTCTGGAATCCCCAGCTTGCTACACGAATGACCCTGTCTGCCATCATTACCACCCTCTTTGCAACAGCCACGCCCCGCAGGCTATCATGACTGTACATTTTCCTAGAATTGCCCTTTTGTGGCCCTTTTACTGAAACATCAATGAGTGCTTTCCTATCTGCCGTGGGCTGTGTGTCCTAAGCACTAAGAGGAGGAAGCCTCAGGTTGCAGGCTGGATAATACAGGCCTTACTCTGCTGATCTTGACTGCAGCCCCTTAAGGAGGCTGGACAGGATGTATCGTCATCCTACACATAGAAAAGCAACCTAGATTCAGAGAGGAAGCCACTCTCGGTACCACGTAGATCCACAGCCATTCTTGACACCATGTGGATCCTCAGCCATGTTTTCAGAAATCTGGTTGACGCCTAAAGCCGCCACCCTCATCATGGGACAGCCATGGCCCTTCTAAGTCTAGACAAAAATAGGAATTTTCTTTTCTTCAAAGGGAACCCAGAGGGAAATGTGTTGCTCTTTTCAAGATTTATGGAGTAACAAGAAATACTCATGGCCTTGCTGTCCCGGAAGGAATAAAGGATGGTGGTTAGTGGCTTAGGACTAACTGCCTCCCTCAAGAAGGCCACACAACTGAAGAACACAGAGAAAAGGAAACAAGAACCATTTCTCCATCATATGTGAGCATTCTCTGTCCAGCAAACAGTTTTCTAAGCTCCGCTCTATGCCAGGAATTATTCTCAAGACTTCAGGTTGAAAATAAGTCAGACATTCTTTTTTCTGTTCCCAAAGATCCAGTGCCATAGTTTGTGTCTAGACCCTTTCCCAGTGTTCAGGGATTGTTCCCAAGCTAGGCACTACTGAGTAGTGGGAACTTTAAGAGAGGGTGTCTGGTTGGAGGTAGGGATCGAAGGACCTCTGTAGCTAGAGTTTTCCTGCCTTGCCCACAGTCAGGACAATTCTCTGTCACTTGCCAGTCCCACAGCCGCTCAGACCCAACCAAGTAAACACAGAGACTTATATTGCTTACAAACTGTATGGCCATGGCAGGCTTCTTGCTAACTGTTCTTACAGCTTAAATTAATCCATTTCCATAAATCTATACCTTGCCACGTAGCTCATGGCGTACCGGCATCTTCACATGCTGCTTGTCATGGAGGCGGCTGGCAGTGACCCCTTCTGCCTTCCTGTTCTTTCTATTCTCCTCTCTGTTAGTCCCGCCTATACTTTCTGCCTGGCCACTGGCCAATCACTGTTTTATTGATTGACCAATCAGAGCAATTTGACATACAGACCATCCCCCAGTAGACCTCTTTCTTCCTTCTGCAGTGATGGGAACAGGCTTGCTTTATACCACACACTTCCCCCAAAGCAATGAGTCCAGCTGATAATGGATTTAAGTCTCCAAACCCAAGAGCTCAAGGAGACCGTTCTCCCTTTTAAGCTGGTGCTGGGGTTTTGTTATGAAGGTAGAAAGAAACATACCCAGGATCTGAATAGGCAGATATTGGTACAGATAATCTTGGTCACACTGGTCACAGGGGTCAAGGAGCACATATGTTTGTGGAGTTGAGGACATCTCAGGTAAGCTGGTAGGACATAGGGTCTTTAAGAAGAATGCAGGGGTGAGGAGGAGGGAGTCCTAGGAGGAGGAGAAGAGGAATGAGTCCAAAATGGTGATAATAGTAACAGTAACATACAACCTTTATGTGGTATTTATGGCTTACAACATGTTTTTACATAATTTTTTTGCATGTAGTCTTTATAATAGTCCTTGAGAAGCAAACAGAAAGGTACCTTCCCTAAGAAGATTAAGTCTGTGAAATGACTGCTCCCTAAGCAGCAAAATGGTCAAAAAGAATAAGGAGATTTCCACCATTATTCCATGACCTGGTCATCAGACATAGCTTCCTGAATTCCACTTGACAGTCTTGTCTAGTTTGGGCACAAGCTAACATATCCTAATTAGCCCAAGCAGGGTCTCCCTGATCGCTGTGTCAGAGAGTTTCCCACCACCCCAGCTGATCTCCACTTCCTCAGCCAGATGTGTATCCTTCCTGCCTTTTTGTTGACTGCCACCAGTGAAGGACGAAGAATGAACAGCCCCCACTGGAAAACTCATTTAGGTGGAGTCCCAAGCTGTCTCCCAAGGATGAACTTCCTTCTTGACAAAATGACTCATCCACCCACCCATTCATTCAGTAAACTATAGAATGCCTAGTGTATACAAGACTTGGGGATAGATTTTGTAGAGGACTTAAAAAGTCCATGAATCTCTTTGTTTCTTCACTAGTTATGAGGAAGGGATGAGACCAGGGCATCCACGTTACCTTATTGACTCCTCCCAGACTGTCGATAGATGCTCTTACCTCCACATCATAGGAGACGTCAAAGCTCACCTCTCTGCTTCTTAACCCAAGAGGCTTCATAGAAGTTTTCACTTTTGTTCAGTTTTATGCCTTTGTTTAATTTTACTTCCTGGTGTTGATTAAGCTGAACTTTGGATCAACTTGTAACACCAGAGGCCTGTGCAGGTGAGCCTTCAGGTCTCCAAGCTAACATGGGTCCTTACCAAGTTCCTAGGAGGGATCGCAGAGATGAGTTCACATCTCCATGTGTTTTTGTGAGGTTTCCCCAAGTAATGCATTTTTGGGGGTTCTTTTGCTCAAAGACACTGCCCTGAATCAAGTAACCTCCAGACCTCATGTGATCAGGATACGATACATCTCTGCATTTGAAAGAGGAGTAGAGGACACAGAGAAAGAGGTCAGGCTGGGCAAGCAATGGAATGCAGAAAGGTGGGCACTTGGGGAGTCCTGTCAGCTTGCTGTCCCTGTAACAAGAACACTGAGATAATCAGCGTCTATGAAGGGAAGGGTTCTTTTTTCTTTTTTGCTCTCAATTTTTGAAATCTCCAGTCCATGGTTCCCTTGCCTTGGCGCCTGTGGTGGGGTGGCACATCATGGCGGGAACGCTTGGCAGATCAAACAATTGTGAAACAATTGGGGACTAGGAAAGGAGCCAGGGTCCCATTCAAGGTCACACCCACAGGGACCTAGCTTTTTCCCTACTAAGTCCCACTCCTAAGGGTTCCACCTTAACCCAGTATCAGCATGGACTGCTAAAGCAAGCCTTTTTTGTGCATGGGCCTTCTCTGTCTTAGTTACTTCTCCTGTCTCTGGGACAAAACGCCTTGAGAAAGGATGGGCACCTTCAGGCTCACAATTTGAGGGACCATTTTCTAGTATGGTGGACAAAGCACGGTGGCATGAGCAGGAGGCTCATATTTCATCAGCAGTCAGGAAGCAGAGAAAGAACAGGAAATGGGGCTGGATTATAAAATCAGAGGGGGGAGAATTGCCATGAGTTCTAGGCCAGCCAGGGCTACATGCAGCAATATGATATCTCAAAAGAACAAACAAAATAAATGGAGGAAAGAAGAGAGAGGCAGGGGAGGGTACAGGAAAAAAAGAGAGAAGAAAACCCGTGTAGAACCCTTACCCACGGTTACACAGAGTATAAATGAGATACCTAGTGTGGTGGTTTGAAAGAAAATGGCCCCCAAAGGGAATGGCACTATTAGGAGGTGTAGCCTTGTTGGAGGAAGTGTGTCACTGTGGAGGCGGGCTTTGAGGTCTCATATATGCTTAAGCCACACCTACTGAGACAGACCACTTCCTGTTGTCTGCAAGCCAAGATATAGGACACCTGGCTAATTCTTCAGCACCATGTCTGCCTGCATGCCACCATGTTGCACTGTGATGATAATGGACTGAACCTCTGAAAATGCAAGCCACCCCAATTAAATGTTTTTCCATTATAAGAGTTGCCGGGGTCATGGTGTCTCTTCACAGCAATAGAAACCCTAAATAAGACAGCTAGCACACTGTTAGTGACCCCTAGTAATGCAGCTCATTGGAAGGTATCTGGGAAGCCCAGAATCTAAGAATCGCAAAGGAAAATCACTCCCCTCCCATGGACGGCAAAGTGTCGGTGAGTGTGTCTGGTGCTCTGCAGCAGGCGTTCCTAAGCAAGCAGCTGCAGTACCAGCTTTGGGGCTGGACAGAGTTCAACCCATCACTCCGTATGACCTTGGGCATGTCACCTTACCCTTGGGAGTCTTGCTTCTTCTGTATCACAGTTCTTGGGAACCACCACGTTCCTGAAGCTGATGTGAGTCACCGTCAAATGTCCAATTCACAGTAGGTCTCGCAGTCCCCAAAGTGAGTGGGAGCAGACACTCAGGTCGCAGGTAGTGAATGCCATGGTGTGTAGGAATGACCATGCAAAGGGAGCAAGGGAGGCTGGGAAGGGCGGCAGGGTGTGTCTCTCCAGGCCAGGCCTGGGAAGGCAGTGACCTCCACACTCCACGGCTCCTATCTCCCATCTCACTCCCTCCCCTCCAGGTCGCAGCTCTGGCAGGAAGCAGCCTGTGGGAAGCTGTGACAGTAATACCAACAGTAGCTGTAGTAATAGCTGGCGCCTTCCCGGAGGATCGCTGTGTGCCAGGCACAGAGCCAAGTCCCTTCTCACCTCCCCCTCAACTCCAAGAAAGGGGGATGGAGAGGTGGGGGGGTTCTGCTACAGCATCTAGGCCTGTGAGCACCCTCCTGGAGATTGGGAGTCTGCATGGAAGATGCCTGATCCACATCACCAGGCACACCTCCTTGAGACCTGTGCAAATAGGTGCTTCTGAAAACAACCAAGTTAGTGGTAAATACAGAGAGTCTGATACACAGTCCAGAAAGGCTCCAGCAAGTAAGAAGCTGTTTCCTTCTTAGATCGGAACCTGCTCCATGAACCTCAAATCCACATTCCCAAGGAAAGCAAGCACCTCCCACCCCCTAGCTCAGGACGCCAATGAAATATAAACTGAGTCCTTAACACAAAGAGGAGATGCAGTCTGTCGGGCTGAGGCCGCTGGCCAGGTTTTGTCCACGTGGCCCCCGGGGAAGTCTAGCTCCCATTAGAAGGCACAGGTACCCCAGGGAACATACACAGTCAGAATAATTACACTGTAGTTTTCTCCACCAAACATGAAGTGAATATGAGCATTTCCCTGAGCCAGGGTGATGTAGGGTGCAACCATCCCCTTTACCGCTCTGAGTAGCACCAAGAGTACATGGTACATGTACATGGAAGTACATGGGGGAAAATACCAAGTCTCATGTCTTCACTAAAAGCCAGCTGTGTGACTCTGGGCCAGTCATGTCTCCTCTCTGAGCCTCATTTTTCTTACCTGCAATGAACAGAAAGTTTACTGAGTTGAAACCCTGCTTTGTGGCTTTTCCAAAGACTCTCTTTGGGCACTTCAATCTGAACTCCTCGGCCGCCAAATCGAGGCAGAATTTGGTTGGTTCTAGATGCCGCATCAAACATGGTGGCAAAGATTTATACGGTAAGTTGGTGTATCTGTGAGATTGTGGGGGAAAGTCAGCCAGTTGAGAACTATACAGTAGGGGGACATTAAACCAGTGAAGGGGGGGGGGCATCTACTACAGGAGGCTACAAAGAAGAATGAGTGAAATGCATCAAGAGGAAACCACACTTCAGCTTGCCTTTTCCAGAGCTAGACAGGGCCGGCCACCCCTTGGAATGTTTGCTGCGTGAGTGATGTAAGAGAATGAAGCCACCACCACCAAAGGGGCAAGCTGAGTGAGTGCTCCAAGTCTAGAGGCCCAGACCACCCACCTCACAGCTTGTTGCCTTTACAGCCAGCCAGGCCAAGAAGAGACATTTACTGAAAGTTCCAGGTCAGTGGAGAGGGTCCCTCTGAGGACAGGTCCCAGGAGACAGAGGCTGCAGGTGGAGTGGGAAAGAGAAGTAAGAGCTGGGCACAGCTGAGCCCTGGGGAAGTACCAGCCGGAAAGGGGACAGGCCAAGCAAGAGGAAGGAGGGGGAGCGAGCACATCGGGGTGCTCACAAGATGCCAAGTCACAGACCCACACCCGACTCATATCATCATTTAATTCTTTCAAGAGATCTGTGAAATGGGAGGAAGCTCTGGGACTTGAACCCAGATTTTGCCAACCTTCTTCCCATCTCCTAGGGCGGTCTCCTGGGGAAAAGCAGTATGTGGACTCAGATCAGAATGGTGCATTCTGTCTACAATTCCCATGCCTCCACCATGCCAGCCACCCTACTGCCCCACTACCTCAGGTCTATTGAATGAACAGACCTGTGATCTAAGTGCTTTTGTCTATCCCTTGCTCTGGTGAGAGCTTAGCCAGCTCCCTACCTGCTCCGGACCCCAGCAGTGATCTCCAGCAGTGTAGATACCCTGTTGCCACTTACTATCAAGATAGCTAATATTTCTTCTGGAATGTACATGGAAATAATTCTGCTTTCCTGGCTCCAGAGACCCCGAGAGCCGTCCAACAACCCAGAACACACTCCCCATTCACCCCTCTGTTGTGGGTTGGAGGCAGCTCACTACAAGATACATCTTCATCTTAGCGCCCAGGTCCTGTGAATGTTTGAGGCCAGTCTGGGGTACATGAGACCCTGTCTTAAAGCGAAGCAAAACATCCATGCTTTCTACCACACCCTTCTTTTTCCTACCTTCCCACACCCAAAGTTCCTTTCTAGAGGAGGAACTCTGAGTAACTGCCTTGTAAAATTGTCTCTGTTCTGACCTTCAGAACTGTCTAGTTCTATTTCTACCTCTAGAAGACCTAAAGTGAGGCTTATGTATGGTCCCCAAGCTGTCCTAAGCATAGCTCCCTTCCCCAGGTCACAGGGGAGCACACTGTCTAAGGGAAGCCTAGGTAGCTCTCCCCTTAGGAGTTAAACATAGGCACTCAGAGGGTGCCATCCCCTACCTATTGGGGTCACTAACTGAGGTATGACCGTCTTTGTCCATGTTTGATTATCTCATCATAAAAAAGAAGGCCTATTTTCAGCTGGAATTAGGGGAATAAACCCAAGAAATGTGGGAAAGGAGGAAGGAGAAAATGAGAGGAATGCCATCACTCAAGTCTTGTGCATCACTCCCTCCCTATACCTGGTTACCACCAAGACCATCGTCACCTCTGGCCTCATCAGTTACATGAGTTAATAAATCTCATTCTTTTCTGAATCTGGTCTGAGCCCATTTTCTGTTCCCTGAGACTGCCAGTGTCTCAGCTGAGACAATACTTCTACTTAGACAAGAAGAGGGTTGCTGAAATTTCTGTTTTATCACAGAAGACAGATTTCAAGGCTTGCAATGATGAAGTCAATGCTTCTCCACCTTCAGGGCTCACCTTTTGCATCTTTAGAGAGAGGACCTGGGGTGGTTTGAAAGAAGATGGCTCCCATGGGCTCATAGGGCGTGGCACTATGAGGAGGCGTGGCCTTGTTGGAGTGGGTGTGACTTATTGGAGGAAGCGTGTCACCGGAGGCGGGCTTTAAGGTCTCAGTTGCTCAAGCCAAGCCCAGTGTGGCACTCTCTTCCTGCTGTCTGCCAATCTGCATGTAGAACTCTCAGCTACCTCTCCAGCACCATGTCTGCCTGCATGCCACCATCCTTCCCACCATGATGACAATAGACTAAACCTCTGAACTGTCAGCCAGCCCAAATCAAATGCTTTCCTTTATAAGAGTGGCTGTAGTCATGGTGTCTCTTCCCAGCAATAGAAACCCTAAGTCAGGACCAAGGGCATCTAGGGACGGGCACAGCCTGTCTGTCTTCCAATTTGTGTGGCTCTTTTTTTGATCACTAGACAGCAGGTCTCCCCTAAGCTTGGTCTCCCCTAAGCTCTTTCCAGGAGGCAGACAGACACAAGAAGGTTTTCTCATAAGCAACAGAGCTCAGTAGCTAACACCCTGACTATGGTCAGTGTGCTGTGCTCCCAGACTCTTAGGACTTGGTTCACACTAGCTCAACATCAGTATTCCTAGCCCCTCTGTGGGTCCCTGCATCCCTACACGGAGGACACACCTTTCTCACCTGTGCCAGGGCAGAGTTCTTCGTGGACACAGAACCTCTCTTCTGGGCCCCAAACAAGTAGAGAGGAGGTGCTTTCTCTGTTCTCAGCTCCGATTGTTTGACTACCCACCGCTGAGCTCACAAGGCACATCAGTCAGTATTCAATAAAGGAGATCAGTATTTGCAGTTGGGTTCCATGGACTCTGCAGAATGAGCCAGGTAAGGACGTCACAAACATGCACATGGAAATGCTCCAAGATTATGAAACGATAAGGGAGGGAGTTGACACGAAAATTAATTTTTCACAGTGCTTTATCAAACATACATTATTTCACTTAGCGCTTGACCGTGGGTTATAAATTAACTGCTGTTCCACCACAAGGGAGAACATATTATTCTCACTTCCAAATAAATATCTTTTCATAGTTTCCCTTTAAATTCAGTCCAGAAACATGATGGGCCCCTATTGTTCGTCAGACTGGCATCGGCCTCATTTCTGGGAACCGTGTCCCTGGCTCCTGGGAACTATTCCTCTGCCCCCGGCCCCCTGAACATGCAGGCCCCTCAACATGCATATGGCACCACAGGAGGCTGCCTGTTGGCACAATGGGATGCACTCTTGGCCCTGGCCATTGGTGGAGAGGTGGGCACCTGATTCAAACTGACCAATCAGAGCCCTCCCCCAAGATTTGGGAACTGCAACTGACAAAAAGAAGTCAGTCTCCCTCCGAGTGTCTGAAAATGAAGACATGTAAATGCAGAAGCAGTTGGCAGCCCCGTTCCACCATGTGGACTGAGGAATAGAAAATGCCAATCAGCAGAAAGAGAAGCAGAGACAAGAGAAGGCGAAAGAATCCAGACAGCCACTGAGCTGAGCGGTCTAGCCGCTCCCCCAGGCCCAGCCATATTCCTCTTTTTGGATCCCACCGAATCCACGGAGCCTTATGACAAAAATTCTTTTTTGGCTTCAACCAACTTAAGTTGGATTTCTCTCCTTTGCAACCCCAAGAGTTTTAATGAATATGAGCGCATAGCCTTATTTCAATCTTGCCTCTGTGTCAAGCTTGAATTTCTCAATCATTTTACTTTGTGACTTCAGAATGGAAAAGAGAAAAACGAAAATATTTTAATTAGACTCCCACGCATATTAATCTGCACTCGTTCTCCTGGATGGTTTCTACACAGAAAATTCTGGAAGAATTTTCTTCCACCTGGAGTGGATTAATAACACCCTAGATACACGGGTGTGTCATGAGATTCTTCACTAAGAATTTAGTCTTCTTAGAATCTGGTTGGAGAGATGGCTCTGTGAATAAAGTACGTGCTGCAGAAGTATGAGGACCCGAGTTTAATCCCAGAATCCACATAAAAAAATAATCTAGCGTGGTAGCAAGCCCTTCCAGCCCTGGGAAGGTAGAGACAGGCCAGCGGATCCCTGAGGCTAGCCAGTAACCTAAGCAGCAAGCCCCAACTCCTAGAAAGAGACCCCACCTCCAACAAAGCAAGAGTTGGTTGTGGTGACTCAAACCTGTAATCCTAGCACTTGGAAGATTGAGGCAGGTGAATCGCTATAGGTTTGGGACCAGCCAGCGTGGGCTAAGTAGTGAGTTCCAGGAAAGTCTGTCTCACAAAACAGTAACAATAACAAATGGATCAAAAGCAAGGTGGCTGGCTCCTGAGAAATAACATATCACAGAGAGAGAGAGAGAGAGAGAGAGAGAGAGAGAGAGAGAGAGAGAGAGAGAGAGAATCTGTTTTTCTCTAATTTTAAAGCTTATCTTTGAGAACAGCATGTTCTCTTTTGGTAATCTGACTTCATGTGGCCTCTGACCTCTAGATCTATAGGAATCCCTTTGGCCACTTGTTGAAGTCCCACAAACCTTATCAGAGGGGCAGTAGTCTGGGCAGCAGTCTGTTGTGCATGCTTTCCTTTGAAGGCTGCTTAAGGATCACAATTAGCCTTTTCATATGCAAGGCCCCGTGATGCAAGGTGGCTGACAGCTGTCCAAAGGAAGCTCTGTGGAGAAACTGAGACAGAAAATCCCTTTGCAGAAGGAACAGAAAGAACTGCTTAGCTAGGCGAACTCTCTATATGTTCTGTGGTCCTTAAAATAACCAATAACGAAATGTACAACATGGCCGACTCTGTCTCCATCCACGTTCTTAAGCGTGGATACTTAGTGTCAACAAGATAAAACAAACCACGAAATAAGTTCTTGCTGTGTATTTATTTAGAATCTCTAGGGGTTTGCCTGTTAAAAAATAAAAATTAACCCTAAACCCACTGGACTTGACCACAGACAAGAAAGCATATGCTTAGCACATGGCTGACATGTGTAAACGTGAGTGCAGTTAGATATTAAAATCTCGCCAGCCAGGAGAAGCCCTCCCCATCTCTACCCCCTGCCCGCCCTTATCGGAGCAAGCATGCCTTTGATCACACAAGCCTCAGAAGCCTAGCGATATATTAGCCACCATTTCTACTCTAATTGGAAAATATTTCCCTGTTCAAGTTCAATCAGCATTTCAGTTAAATAGGTAAAGGATGCCCAAGAACTTAGAGCCGGAAAGAACCTCAGAGGCATATCTGGCTCAAAAGGTTTATTTTAAAGATGAAAAGATAAAGTCACTTATTCAAGACAACACGGCTTAGTCAGCAGAGAACGAGAGGGCAGATTTCTCATCACCTCCCTCCCTCCTGGTTTCCGGTTTTTAGAAGCAAGACCTTTCCAGAAAGTTCCCAAGCCCTTTCTCCTCAGCTCCTGGTCCGTCCTGCCTGAGGCCAGGCTGTGGATGCTCCAGAAATCAAGGGCACCCCACCAGAGAAAGTTGCAGGGCACTGGGGGGCCAGTGCTACGGGGTTGTAAAGGCAAGCCTCAGGAGCTCTGCTTGCAGGGATGCAGTCCAGATGTCCTCACATCCCCTTTGCACATGCGAGCCTCACACTGCAGCAGTCCCGCCACGCGACAGCAGAGCCGCAGGAGGGTTCCAGGAGCCCCGGGGGGTGGGGGGGGATACATTTAAAGGATACCTAGGAAAGCATAGCAGAGGATGTCACCACGCCAGAAAGAAAGGCAGCCCGCTGAAGGGCAGGGGGATGGATGCACGGACCCTGCCCTCTGTGCCCTGCCAGCTTCCTCTCATACCCCATCACTGGTTGTGCTGGGGCACGAGGAAACCGCCAAGTGGAATGGCGCACCGTAGTCACACTGACACAGCCACCCGTAGAAGAGAGGGCCCAGTTGCTCGGCAGCTTGAGTGGGAATGTGAGGAAAATCATGGGGATTTCACAGCGCACGTGGAGTTCAGCACAAACAACCTAGAGTGTCTCGCTAATCATTAGAGATGGCACCTCTGTACAACATCACGAAGTGGGGTTTCCGGGGCCTTTTTGAAAAAGACAACTGTACAGATAATACAAATTTGTTTAAGCTCAAGAAGAACAACAGGTCAACTCCAGTTTCCCAGGTAAGGGGTTGGGATGGGAATTTGGTACCACATCTCATTGCGGCATCCCACCCTCGTTCAGGATTCACACGCACACGGAGAGACAGGCACCCTGCTCTCGGCTCCATCTTTGGAACAATAGGCATGCCCAGGACATGTGGGTTTCAGAGCTGCTGTTGGGAGTGTGTGGAAAGGCGTTCTCCATCCCTGACATCGCACTGCCTGTGAATGGTTTTTCACATCAGTTGTTACCTGAACAGAGGTGTCGATTCCACATAGGCTGGCCCTGAAAAGAAGACAGCTCTCACGCAGCTCCTATAAATTACCCGCTTCTCACTTTAATATCAAGTATGATATGTATTAGAGTGCAGGCTTTGGGCTAGACTCAAGTTGGAAGGCTGTCAAATAAAACACAAAATAGAAAAATAAATCCAAAGTGAAATTTATGACATGATTTTTACTCCCATTACATTCCACTTAACAAATGCATATGTTTTACAATATCTTTAATAATAATTATTAAACATAGTAAAATACTTCCAAACTTGGCTCATTGCATAATTGTACTTCGAGTGAAAAAAAAAAAAATGATCTGAGGCCTTGTCAGGATGCCACTTCCTCCTCCCCCAGCTTTTAACAGAAGCAGCCTCCAGTGGGATAATCCAAGCTGTGTTCAAGAAGTTGGCAAGTAGGTCCAATTAAATGTGGTTTTACTGTATTCTGGCGTCTGCATATCTAGTTTGCCAAGAAGTAATCTTTCACAAAAAAAAAAAGAAGAAAGAAAAAAGAAAAAAAAAAGACGGAAAGAAAGACAGAAAAAAAAAAATCTGCACTGGCCCAGAATCAGACTGGATGGTACCATGTATCATATAACTTTACCTCATGACTAAGATAATCTCTTTTTTTCTTAAATAGCTATGGAAAATGTATCATCTATCCATCATACTCCTGTATGAATCACAAAACACCATCCTGTGTGGGACATCTTACATTTATACATGACAAAGCTGGAACTCATCTCAATAGCTCTGTTTATTTTAATTATTAAACTCCGAGGGGTTAGTGCTCAGCCACCTGAGCTTGATGTATTTATTCAGGTGTACTCCAGTCGGATTATCTGAATGAGGCTGTAAACGATCCTATTGACTATTAAATACCCACTTGTCCAAGCAGGAGTTGTACACAGTCACAAACCTGGGTACCTGGAGCTGGGAGGGACGCCTCTCTGAATTTGCAGCTGAAATGCTAGGCAGTTCCTTTGCTGGAGTTTTACTGCCCCCGGGCCTTCATCGAGGAGCTGACTCCAGCAGTCCTTCCCAGCTAACCCAGGCTCTCCATGAACGGCCGGCCGTATCCAAAGTCCAGATGGAAAGCTGTCAACAAAGAGAGTCCTTCCGCCCTGCCCACTGCATGATTCATCCCTGGCATGAAGACAGGCCCGGAGATGGCCCCACCACCGTGACTCCCATAGGTGAGCCAGGCAAGGAGCACAGGTGCTCACTCTGCAGGTCAGCGGGAAGCGATCAAGTCCGGAAAAAAAAAAAAAAAAAAAGGCTGCAAACCTCACAACCTGGCCTTTGTTACGAATCATCATGAGCTCATTAAAAACACATGCAGAAATGGTTAAACAAAACCCTCTCAAACCTTTTTACAAAATCGCCAGTCTATTAGGGAGACAGAGCCCGCAGCAAACTCTGCCTCCAATGTGTGCAACGGAGCAGCTAATGTCCTTTGGACTCTTGTCTATGGCATCAAGCAGAGGGAAGGTTGGTTGTTTTTTTTTTTTCCTCCCCCAAGGGGGTGTGTGTGCTTGTTTGTTTTGGGTTGTTGTTGTTGTTTTATTTTTTTTCTTTTTAAAGACAAAATGATTAAATATAGCGACAAAGAACTGTTTTTTACCAAACATGTATTGTTACGCTCATTGCCTTTTACAAAAACTGATGAAAATGATAAGACTGAAAAGGGAGATTGTGTCATAATAACAAGGGGGGGGGAAGATGACTGTGGCCCGATTGCTTTTGTAAAGTGGCATGGCATCAAAGAGGGAAGTGGACAGATTGAATGGGGCACTCTGAAGCCATCCAGTGCTTGGCCCTGCTACACACACACACACACACACACACACACACACACACACACACACACACACTTGGATCGTATCTTAGTATAAACACAACTCACAGTTGTATTCCGCTGCTCTGTGGATGTCACCCAGATGCAGTGTGTCCCCCCTCCCCTCCCCCGTGGATGGACTCACACCCGTTTGCACCACGTATGCCCACAACAACACAGGGCACATCCGAGACACGGGGGTCTGTGCACTGAGATGCTCTGGCTGTGACCTGGCGTGTGCCACCTTCTCTTGGTTACAGGGAGTTGTGTCTGTTTTCACTCTGGATATTTGTCACACTAGTTTTTACACTTAACGATACTCCAGTGAACATCAATCAGAGCTTTTGCTCTTGATTTCTTCAGCATTGGGGGGTATGTCTGGGGAGTCTGTATCCAGTGCAGGCCTGACATAGCAGATTTTCTCTGAGAAGTCAACGATGATGTATCTTTATCTCCCCTTTACCCCCCAAAAGAAATGATACGGACGTGGGACCCTGTATTAATTAATGGGCACAGAGGAATTTGTCAGAAGGAACCAAAAGTGTGATATCAGTAAGAAGAATTGCACACCTGTTCGTACCTACAAGCCTACCTGAGAGTGTGTAAGCTTTTCTCAAGTATGACCCTTTCGTTTTCCCACAGCCTGCAGAAATTGCCGAAAAACCTAAGTAAGTTTGAAACTATTAGTCCTTGATGGACTTAAACTTTTAAAAGGAAAAATCGAGAGCCACATGGTGGTGGCGCACACCTTTAATGCCGGCACTCGGGAGGCAGAGGCAAGGGGATCTCTGTGAGTTTGAGGGCAGCCTGGTCTACAAAGCGAGTTCCAGGACAGCCAGGCCTGTTACACAGAGAAA